TAAACATGGCATTTCTTTTTCAGTAAACTTGCAGTTGACCGAAACTTGAACTTTGACCAACTTACACAACTTTCTCATTTCAAACAGACGATCAAGAAATTGAATCATTACTCTGTAACATATTCCCACTTGATTTCCACTTTGAATGAGGATTAAAAATCGTTATTACTGTTTCACAGTTGATTTAAAAATGAGTAGTTCACTTCAACATTTAAACATTGTTTGAACAAACACAATTTGATTATCAAACATTTGTAAAATAGTAATGATAATAGAAAGTAGTCTTCTTTCACTTGATTAATTCAAGAAAGAAAGTCTCAGGATGGGTCAACCTGTATTTCTGGATTCAAATCAATGAAATGACAGTTTCATCCCATAAGGTCCTTAAGGTCAGGATTTGACCTCAGGCCTAGTTCACTACAAGGGGTTGTGTTTCTTTAGCTGGAAAAATCTAACTTTTTAAAACAATAATGATCCAATGCATTCCTCCGAATCAACAAACTAAATAGATTCACCAGAAGATAAAGTTTTAGAGTCTAGACCAGGGTGGGCAAAACTATTTTTCCTGAAGGCCAAATCAAGAAATTTAAAACAATCAAGAGGCTTGATAAAAAAAAAAACGTCTCCCCAACACTCTTTAGGAATATAAGGCATATTATAACCCTTTTCTTGTGACAACATATTTTAGCTTAAATATGTATATAAACATGTTTGCATTTTTGAATCAATAAGATTAAAACTAGTTATGAAAACGCAACAATTTAAAACGTTTTAGCCTATCTTAATCCAAAGGTTTTTGATGTATTTGTCAAAGTTTTTAATTTGAGAGTTTCTTAAGTTTTATTGATAGAATGCAGGTTTCCATCACATATTTAAAAGTTGTTTTCTTTTCAATTAAGGATATTGGGGGGGGGGGGGGGGGGATTGTCCAAGGGCCACTTTTGGCCCTCAGGCCATATGTTGCCTAGATCTGGTCTAGACCTGCATGTATGATAAAACATGTGGGATGATCTGAAGATGTGCACAGAGATACCTTTACAATCTGACAGAATTTGAGAACTTTAGCAAGGAGCGGGCAAAAATAACCAAATCAAAGTGTGTCCTGCTGATGCGTGACCAATAAGACTGAAGGCTCCCAGTTAAATCAGAGGTACTTCAACAACTTTCAGGGTGTGCACAATTATGCAACCAGCTATTTGCATCTACCTATTATTTTTGTATTTTTCCACATGGCAATTGTTTAAAAAAAATCTGGTTGAATTGATACATATCACAGAAAAGATGGACGTTTAGAAAGGTTTTTATCATGCCTCAATATTTAACATTACAAAAACAACAGATTTAGACTCCTTGTCACCACGGTTTCTAGGCGGGACTTTGTACAAAGTAACAGAACCAACAAGAGGCACATTTGTGCAAACATGACAGGAAAAAGCTCAGGAGAGTAGCTTGAAGTGCTTTGCTTGGCCTCTGACTCCGAGCATACCATGAGCTCTGCAGCTCTGTGGAAACGACTGTGGGAGGACACGCGCAGACAGCGTCAGTGAGGGAACTCCTGTTCCTGCTCAGCTCCGAGCGTCAAGCTGCTGATCGTGTCTTTGACAGGTCGACAACGCCGTGGTTAACAAAGTGTTGAACGTTCACGGTGAGCTGAGCACCGTACAGAAATCAAAGGGTTTGTGAGCTCGTATTTGAAACAACAAGATTCCTCCACCTGTTATTGTTTGATTGACAGCTGTCCACTTTGATGAATGAAGAACTGATGAAAGATCAAAATCACGGAGGAACACCTGAGTCAACAGCTGACAGAGGAACTACCAATGAGCTATTGTTTGAAGCCCCCGTCCTGTCGTAGGCGTACAATAGTCTGGACTACCCAGCCCCGGCCAGACCCCCCACCCTGCAACATACAATGGTGCAACTAAGGCAAAACCTGCATGAATGTACTGCAGCAGTACCTCGAATCGATAAGCAGAAGAATACAGGGCTGACCAGTGGCGAAGTGGATGTGATACGCAGGCATACGGCGCATACCCATTAGAAAAGCTTGGGAATTACAGTATACCCACTTAAGTGCCCGATGATGACATCATTGGGCTCGTGTCATTGTCAACACATTTGGAACATTTTATAGACGCACCGAGTTGGTTCAACCCGTCTTTTGTATAATGAATTATTCTGTACTTACTTAATACTTGAACATGTTTTGCTTTGATACTGTTTTATACATTCCATAGCATGTTTTTAACACAACGCCAACAGAACTACATTTATTCAAATATAAGCATCAGAGAAATGTTTTAATGTTCAATATGATTAAAAATCTAAATACATTGAATATTACATCGTACTAACCGATGTACATCGGTTTCTAAGAACGGTATACCCAGTATAAAAACGTAGACTACACCTCTGGGGCTGACGATGCAAAGTTGTAAACTTTTAATTGGAGGGCCACAGGTGAGCCTGACAACTCCTGACCCCCGCGCGACAGCTCTTGACCTCAGGGTGTGCAGTGCATCTGTCGCCGAGCAGCAGCTGTATGAAGCGGCCTGCAACCTGCGCCACGATTCACCAGCGCAGCGTCGACGTAAGATCTGAGCCGTTTCAAAACTCCTCTGTTCCTCTCCTGTCCCCCCCACCCCCCAAGAAATCAAGACGCATGTTTAGGTCAAAGCGTCCACATCCACCATCAGGAGCCGTGAATGGAAAATCATGAGCAACCAGCTGACACTTCCTGGGCCCTGCCCGTCAACTCTTCAGAGCACAATGGTTCAGATGCAGCGGAGCTCTGAAAGGACAGGAAACTCTTGTAGCTGCTGATTTTATTATTTTTTAAAGGAAAGTGGCAGCAGTTTCAAGAGAGGCTGCTTTATTTGTGTGTCTATCTTGGGTAAACGGCCCTGTCCTTCACATTCTGGGCTCCCCAACAGGTCAAACTTCACGCAGAACAAACAGTTCATAAACAAACAGAACACAAGCATTCCTGCAGAAACTCCTGGCCTTTGACTCTCCTAAAGATCGGCGAGGTTTTGGAAACTGAGATCTTAAATATGCCAGCCATTCAGAGAAACATGCCCAGTTTAGATACCAGTTTGTTACAAATTACCTTTTTTTTTTCGTCTGCCACCCATCTCCATGACAACAATCATCTTTTTTTTTTAAAAATGATTTCTGACTTCACAAAGTGACATCACCGAACGCTTCGCACCCTGACTATACGTGGCTGCACAGAAGAAGCAGACCTCACAAACGCCGACAAAGTTCCTCCTTTCCATCGCGTCAAAAAGCGCACAGAGCTCCAATATCAAGCTCAAGCCGGTGAAAGAAGAAGAGGGAATGGCTTTGAAACAGTAGCCTCGTGTCAGACCTGCGCCTCGGGGTTACACGAGGCAGAGTTCCAGGCTGGTGATGACTTTAACCTCACGAACTACACCAAGGAGAAAAAGACGATACCATCTAAATACAATAATAAAGCTTAAATCGTACAGTTGTTAAAACTTTGGAGGTTAAACTTGACCAATGACGTAGTGATTGCTTTTTTTTTTTAATCACCTTGCAATGACTCTTTCTTCAAATCTGTAAAGTTAGCACCCTGATAGTGATACTTGAAGGCACAGTTCATCTGCCAACTCACTACTCTGAAACTGAACCTATCATCATTAATTAACAGTCACACACACGTTCTTGTAAACGTACTTTTTGGGGACTTTGCATTGGCTTCCATTCATTTTCTATAGCCTGACCCCTAACCAGACTGCTCCTTATGGGGACCAAAGCCAGGTCCCCATAAGGAGCACCCGGTTCCCACAATGCATGATGTTGTTGTTAAACTGGTCCCTACAAGGTAACCTGAAAAAAAAAAAACGCGCACACACAGGAACAGACAGGAAACGGGCCGAGGCTCAGTTCACGTCAGTTTCTTCTCCTTCTTCTTTCAACCATCGTAAAACGTCCCGAAAACTCTCGTTTCCTCTTTTAGGAGCTCAACTTCTTTCAAAAGGGAAACGTTACGTTAGCGACAGTGGCAGCTGCTCATTGAAAAGGCACCACTTCCACGCTGATCTGGATACACATTTCATTTTTATTATTTCAACAGCATAGCATAAGAAAAAAAAAAATTAACAGCAATATGCGCAAACTTTTAACTGAACTGACTGCAGGACCTTCCAGGCTGGTGGTGATGGCTTAATTAGCAAAAAGAATAAATATATATATATATATATATATATATATATATATATATATATATATA